TATGTGGGCCATCGGTCCACACGATATTAACTTTATTTTTTAAGGGTGAAGGCCCACCAAGATAGCTTGCTATATAGGCTTTCATGAGTCGCCCATGCGTTGCACTACTGCAGGGGCCTGACTCAACCCGCCAAATCAACAGTTCAATATTTACACTCGGCCCATTAGTTGACTAATTGGTTAAGTAAATTGTCGGTTAATCCTTCCAAACCGCCATTTACTCTCCTAAAAGCTTAAAATCAGTACTAGTATAATTATCTGTTATCTCAAAACACCCCAAGAGTTTTACAGTAGTTTTTATATAGTAAGATACTTGCGTAGTTTTGTTTTCCAAATATCTTAGTTTATTTACATTTTTAATTTTTCAATCATATTCCAAGGTTCTGTTTTATAATCTTATAAATAATGTTTTATATTAGTAAATTTTATTTCTTAAACAGATTGTAAAGAGTTTTTATTTAAAGAAATCAAAATTCATGCATAGTTGCGTATGCGTTTAAGTTCATTCAATGCTTGTAAATAATATGTATGCCGACTTAGCTCAGTGGTAGAGCGCGTGACTTTTAATCCCGTGGCCGTGGGTTCGATCCCCACAGTCGGCGACATTATATAATTTTTTATGTTCAAAAAAAAAAAAATCGCTTGAGAATCGTGTGAAGACACACTGTTTCTATTTTTCTTGTTTTTTTCTTTGCAGTTTCATAAATAAATAGAGTTTCGAAAGATATCAGGTAAGCAACATAATATTGATATGGATACTCTCGAAACATAAGGAAATCAGGTAAACAACATAATATTAAATAAATAAAAAATCGGCCCAAATCACTATTAAATCAGTGGTATCATCGAATTTTCAACTCTGATTAGACGCAAAGGTTTGTTTAATTGAAGAAAAGTATATCTTGAAACCAAGATGGACCAAATCATCATTTCTGGCTTCATCTGCATATATATAGACCAAATCCAGAATCAGAAAATACTAAAATATACATATGCATAAAAAGCGTAGCTAAAAACAAATACAGTAGATGTTTTGTTTAACAAACGACATAATTTATATAAGTGAAGAGGCAATTCAGAAACTGTATTAAAAAAATATTTTCTTTAGCGTGTTCTGAAGTTTTATTAATTAAATTTCCTTTTGATTTTGAAAGTTTGTTAGAAGATTATTATGTATTTTTGAAAATTCTGTATCATTAACTAATAACTTAAATTAATTATTTGCTAAAAATAGTTTGTATACGGAATTTTTAAGATTTTTTGTGGCAAAAAAATATTAGTTTCCTATTATAGCAAATCTAATTATACTGTATTTTAATGTGAACATATTATAAATGATAAGAACTACAATTAAGACAACGAGTTTTTTTTAATTAGAATATCAAATATTTAGAACAAAAGTTTAACATAATTGTTGTGATATGTAGTTAAAGATTTAGATTATATTTATGGTTAACATTATTTAATTGTATATTGTCAAATGAAATTTACCATTTTTGTTAAGATTTTATATTGAATAGGAAAGATATGATAATCACAAATCAGAACTATTTCTAATTCTAAGATAGGTTGTTTAGATTGAAAACATATCTTAGCAGTTAATTCGAATTAAATATGTTAGTAAATTAATTACTTGTGGTTAGTTTTTGATAATCACGTAAGTTTATATTCTTTAATAATTAGTTACTTTTTAATTTGATAGTACTGAAATCATCATTAATTTTTGATATATTCTTTTAATTTCGAAATAAATAAGCCACTAATGCAAAAAAAAACAAAGTAGAATATTATTTGTCGATATCCGATATCAGTTTAAAATCACCAACTACCAAAATTAAAGGAAACAGAAAAGATTCAACTCATATTCCTCTATCTCAAGAGTATCCTATTAGCCCTTATAAAATAGTCTTGCTTGCTTAGAAAGTCATATAGAAGACAAAAAAAAGCAGACGTAGCAATTTTTTTTTTACTTTATATTTCTTTCAAGCAGAACGTCTTCCAGTATACAAGAAAAATCATATATAGAGGTGTAAATTATAAACTACTATGATTATATATATATATATATCTTTTTGTTTTGAATATTCACTTGTTATATGCTTTCAGCGTCATGGCAAGTTCTCAAGGCAATAATGGATCACGCTTAAGAGACGAGGCCAAATCTACAAATGACGTCGAAGTGGATGGTGAAAGCAATCGCGAAGGCTCAGTAAGTAAAATTAATTTACTTTTAAATCAAATTAATGCGATGAAAATATATTAAAACGAAATCTGATTGCTGAAAAACACTTTTATAGCTCCTTCCCTTCTCAAATAACATTTTGTTAAGTTTTGTTTTTCATTTTTATAGTTTATAAAGCAGTCACCAATCGAAGACAAAAAAAGTAGCTGGAAGAAAGATGTGTTGGATTTATCGCCATTGTCACAAGCTTTGTCCTCTGTGGAGCATAAAATGAATCACGAAGAAAGGTTTCATCGGGACGAATCGACTCGACTCATTGAAATTCTTGCAGAACATTTATTCGACGGTTTTGACTCTCTTCAACAAGAACCCACCCAAAACTATACAGCAGAACCACAACTTCAGACTGAACCACTTCAGCTTTGTTCTCTTAATCAAGAAGATGATTTTCTCTATTAAGTTTTTGTATGTGTTGTTAAATATCTTTTTACTTTTTAATATTTCTTGAGAATCTTTCAGATTTTTCTTTTTAAATATGTGGCACTATTTCTTTGATTGAAAAATATAAAAAAAATTTCCAATATTCAGTTAAGATTTTCTTGAAAGATTAACATTTTTTTTTTAATTTGTACAATACAATAACCGAGTAGTAGTTAATAACTGAGCAACTCTTGGCACACTTGTTGACGGCAGCCTTGGCTCCGGTGGTTCTTGTTAGTCAACACTTTGCTGCAACAGCCTGCCTCATGTCCCTCACTGCACATGTGGCCATTCGTTCTTGGAGACTATGGTCTCTACGTCCACAGATCCGACATGAGCTGTTAGAGCAGCCATCTTGTCGTTGAAGATGAGCTCGGTGAGCTCTACGCGTACCTCTCTATTCAAGTACTGACCATAGCTAGCTACAGCTGCTACACTGTGGCTTCTCTTGTTGAAGTACTGTTGAAAGCAAACAGCTAAGGCATCAAGTGAATATGGAATTGAATCGGTTCCTGTGCCATTCACAAAGGTGCCCAAAGTTAATGTAAAACAAAAAAAAACTGAATATGTTAGAATACAGAAGGTGAGCCAAGGCAGTAAACAGAATAGAACACTACTTATTGTTTCTTCTAAGCCAAGCATCTGCATGAAAATTGAGTAACAAGCTTAGATATGAATCAAATGAGAACCATTAATTATTCAGTCAAAAGATAACTGAACCTCCTATGTAAAGTAACTCCTTACAAAGTGTAGATTTTGCACATCCAGGAATCCCTAACAAGACAATGAAATTGCTGAAATCATAGGAAAAGAGATTAGAAAAATGAAATTACTAAAACAATCAACTAGTGTATGTCCTATAAAAAGGTAGCAAAATCCAACAAATCACAAATACCTTGTATGTGAGAAACTTCAATTTGATCATTAAGTTTGCATCATCATCAGCCAAACCATCATTTCCTTGTTGACCACCATTTTCACCGGCATCTTTGAATCATCAATGCTTTTCAGAGCACTAAGTTCCCTCCGTTAGTTCAACTTGAACAAATTAATATCAACAAAGAAACCTGAAAACAAAACCCAAAAGAGATTCACTAAGACAATTTGATTCTCTAACAAAGCTCTTGTTCACAAAGACTAGAAACTACGGAAAGCGAAGTGTAGATTGGTGCCTAGTTATAGAACATTAAAGAACAAAGCTAAAGAATAAGCAACACACAACAAAACTGTACCTCGATACAAAGGCCACAAACTAGGCATGTTCCTGAAACAAGGTAATTAATTATATGGTTCAGTAAAAACAAAATCAATCTGTTCTAAAGTTTAACTGCAAGACATAAAAAGTTAACCTCATCTCTTTCTGGTGACGCTTAAATCCTGATCTCCTTGTGCAATCATTTTAGTCGCCATCTCAATTTGTTAAGGACCAGAAAGATCAGCATAACAGCATATCATATATCAAGAACAGGAACATACAAAATCAAGAAAAAAAAGCTGCGTTAGAACTTGAGAGTGTCAACACAACACAAGTAGACATGTTGTTGATTATTACCCCCAATGTTGCAAACCCTTTAGATACCAAATCAATCATTCTTGTTCTTATCTGCCAAAAAATCAAGATTGTAAATGCAACATGATGAGATAACATAAAAGCAAAAGCAAACTTACAATTTAGTGCTACAAGAGACCAGCAAAGTTTACATCTTGGTCAGTCTTTTCATTCTCAAATTTTGGATAGAAAGTGGCTGTGATCTTCACATGACAGTAAGTCGAATCATCCATTGTAATATAATTGTAAGCTTCGAGTGAGATTGAAATTGAAAAACTAAAGATGATTAAGAAAAAAAGGATCAGCTTTGAAGTCTCTTCGTTGAGAATTTGAATGGCCGTATAAAGAAAAAAGACACATAGAGTCAATGTCCGGCGCAAACTGAAGCTCCGGTACTGGTTCTTCGATTTCACCAGTTATTGCAATTAAGTCCTTTTTCTTAGTACAGTTTACCTAAGGAGCCGAAAGTATACATTCAATCCGTAAAGTCCTTTTTAGATTTTATGTTAAATTGAAAAAAAGGAAACGAATATCCGTTTCCGTGAGAGTTTTTATCACCTTTGCCACAAATCTCTTCAATTGGGTTTTATTTTCCAGTTTTTCTTCCTCTCTCCTTCTCTGCTTCTTCTCTCACTCGCTTCAAGAGGTATCGTCTTCAACACCTTCTCTTTACTTTTGATTTTTTTTTTCGGATCATGTTTCGAGTTCCAATCTCGAGAGATCTTCTCTGCTCGGGTTTCCGATTTGAATTTTTCTTTGATTTTCCTCTAGGGTTTTACGTTATCTCCGATGGCTTCAAATCCAGAGAAAACTCCTCCTCCTCCTTCAGGTATCGTGTGTTCATCTCGAATTGAAAAGCGTTGTAATCAGATTCGATTGTGTGTGTGTTCATCTCGATTTTACATTTCCAATTCATGGTTTCCGCAGATGAGAAAAACAATTCGAATTCCAAGGAGGAGAGTAAGAGTACTAAACCGGAATCGAGCTCAGGAGCTTCGCCTTCGCCTCCACCTTCATTCGCTGATGCCTTCGGTGCTTTCGATTTCTCAAGCATGGCCGGTATTCTCAATGTAATTGAGTCTCTCTCTCTCTCTCTCTGTGTTTGATTCTTCCTTATGTTGATGGGTTTTTAAAATCAGGATCCAAGCATCAAGGAACTTGCTGAGCAAATAGCTAAAGACCCTGCGTTTAACCAGTTAGCTGAGCAGCTTCAGAGATCTGTTCCAAATGCATCTCATGAAGGTGGTCTCCCTAATTTCGACCCAGAACAGTACTTGACCACAATGAATCAGGTTATGGGGAACCCTGAGTTCAGGACTATGGCCGAGCGACTTGGTAACGCCTTGGTACAGGTATGTATAAACACACAAGCTCTGATCGAGAGATTCCGAGACCTAAAGGAGGCGTGTTCTTGATTGAATCTCTGATTGATTTTGGCGTTGTTTCTCAGGATCCACAAATGTCTCCTTTTCTGGAGGCTTTTTCGAACCAGGAGGATGGAGCAGCATCAGAGCAGTTTGCTGAGCGTATGGCTAAGTTGAAAGAAGATCCAGAACTGCAACCTATACTAGCTGAGATAGACGCTGGTGGTCCTTCTGCTATGATGAAGTATGTTGTTTAGTATCCCGTTCTTTAGAAACTATATATGAGGTTTTGTTTCTGTGTGGGTTTATAAAGTTTCGTTTTCTTGTGTTTAGGTACTGGAATGACAAAGATGTGTTGAAAAAGCTGGGGGAAGCAATGGGTGTAGCTGTTGGAGGAGAGCAGAATGTTCCAGCTGAACCTGCAACTGAGGAGGCGGAGGAAGAAGAAGAGGAAGAGTCTATTGTTCATCAGACTGCTAGTCTTGGTGATGTGGAGGTACACTTTCTGTTCTTGATGGGTTTGAATTTGATTGCCCGAGAGGTTACGTTTTAAACTCACTAGGCGTTGATGTTCTGAACTAACCAATCAGGGTCTGAAAGCTGCGTTGGCATCTGGTGGTAACAAGGATGAAGAAGACTCACAGGGAAGGACAGCACTGCATTTTGCATGTGGCTATGGCGAGGTATGTCAATCTCTTAACACGAACCGTAGCAACAAGAACCTTTCGAACTGTATGATTTTAGTGGAAAACACTTTCTATGGATTTGCAAACTAAGAATCTTTACTTCCATGAACCTGATGGATTAGCTTAATAACACAAATACCTACCTAAAGCATGCTAACTACCATTATTTGTGATTACATGTGGTTTATAAATGCTTAACCTCCGGATTGATCCCGGTTTGGTCTGATTCTAGATGAGATGTGCACAAATTCTTAACACGGATCGTAGCAACAAGAACCTTTCGACTATATGATTTTAGTGGGAAACACTTTCTATAGATTTGCAAACTAAGAATCTTTACTTAGTAACACAATCACCCACCTTCTATTTATGCTTACATGTGGTTTATAAATGCTTAAATCTCTGGATTGGTCTTGGTTTGGTCTGATTCTAGATGAAGTGTGCACAAATTCTTCTGGATGCTGGAGCAAATGTGAATGCGATTGACCAAAACAACAACACTCCATTGCATTATGCCGCGGGTTATGGAAGGAAAGAGTGTGTAAGCATTCTCCTAGAGAATGGCGCTGCAGTGTAAGTTTTGCATCAAATTTCGATTTCCAAACAAATTTAAATTGGTGCTATATATGTATGACTCAAAAGAGTTTTGTTTTTGTTTTTCTATTGTTGTGTTGTTGCAGCACTCTGCAGAACAATGATAGGAAAACTCCAATTGATGTGGCCAAGCTTAACAACCAGTTCGAGGTGGTGAAGCTACTTGAGAAGGACGCTTTCCTCTGAGAGCTTTGCGATCATGTTCTTTTGCGACTCTTGAGGGATATTATTATATCTCTTTTGTGCTCTGTAATAGTATGACAGGCCATTGTCGTGTTTCATCCTCCGTCGTTAGTGGGTTTTTTTTCATTATTAAATTTGGAAGAAAAAAAGAAAAAATAAGGAAAGAGAAAATTGGATATTTATGGTTTTGTAATGAATTGTTTTTCTTCTTTGAATTTGTTCTGTCTTTTAATTTTTAGGTTTATGTCCATTTTGTATCATGATGGGCCTTACTTTCACAATCACAAAAGGTGAAAAAAGCTACACTTTTAAACTTGTTTAGGCCTTAACGAAATGTATTACCGTATTCTGTCCTTTTGGGGGTTCGCTTTAGTAGAAATGGATGATAAAAATAATTAGTACAATTGCAAAAGAAAAACTTGCAAAAGAAAAACTTGCAAAGTACTCATTAACTAGTATCTAAAAATTCGTAGATTTTTGTATTCATTGCTTATTTTTATTGTTAACATTAAACGGTAAACAGCAATCATTATAAATCTAGTTTTTTTTAAGCTTTAACGAAATATATTTACTCTGCTATGTCTTTTTAGGCTTATGTTAAATCAAATGGATGGTAAAATTTTTAGTACAAATGCAAAATAAAAACTAGTAAAATACTCATTTAGTAGTATCTAAAATTTGTAGATTTATTTCCTAAAAATTAGTTCAAAATAAATCTCTAATTCTAGTTTGATTTTAAAACTTAGGTTTTTATTGTTGATATTAAATAATAAACATGATCATTAAATCTAATTTTTTGGATTTAATATATAATTTTCCCATTTTTTCCTTTTCAAATTTTTTAACCGAAACTTATAATTATAAAATATTTAAGCGATTTCTAATATTGAGCAGAGGATTCATTGAGAGGAAATTCAAACTCTAACAGTAAAATAAAGGCAAAAATAATTGTTTGTTCAGAAACAGAACAAAATAAGTAATTCTTTTTATAGATACACAATTTAGATATTTGAAAAGTTAAATGAACATTTTTCCTATAAAAGTAACATAGATATAAAGTTAGCTAATTTAAAAATTATCTTTTTATTTAAATCTGAATTATATTTTTTTTTCAAAAGAAATATACTAGTTCAATAAACCAAAGATAATGAGCGGATCAATGTTAACCATAGTGATTAATTTTCGGTCTCAATGATGAAAACTTGCATATTTTTTTGTGATTTCTTCTCGTTTTTCCGTTTGTTCTCAGACGACATATAATTGTTTTGAATTTAAACGGATAACATCTGATCAACAAATCAAAGTTTAACTAGCAATATGAATCTTCTTAAGACAATAATCAAAGTTGTCATCCTATTACACTTAACTGTTGCAAGACACTACCAACAAGACATAATTACTAAATTAGTTGGAACAACATATACTGGATTTCAGATGTCATTCGATAAACATTCATCAAAATTGCTTAATCCACAACTTGTAAGAGTAACACAAGTGAATCAGAGCAAAAGTCAAAATAGTCTAAAGCTACTAAAACATCTAACGTTAGTGATTGAAGTAAACATTCTTTTTTTTTGAAGTTTTATATTGAAGTAAACTTCTAATTTGTATTGCTAACTCGGCCCTACCATAATCTAGAATCCAACAAAAAATATTCACAAACACTTCTTTGGTGACAAAACCCATTGAAACATTGACCTTATGCCCTATTTTTTGAAAGATTTCCATTATGTTTTTAAGAAAAAATATATATACTCAAATAAATGAAAATTATATGGATTCTTATTTAAATAAAATAAAAGTTGAAAAAAGAAAACAAAAGTAATGGGATTTAGTTAAAATATTCTTTCCCATAATTAATTTTCTTCTTTTATGCCAATATATTTTTCAAACAAACAATACTTTTAGTGATTATTAAAATTAATTTTTCAATTTATAGTTGAAATCATGCTGAATATTAATTTTTACAAAAAAGGGAAACTATATTATTACTATTATTTGTAAAACTTGTATTATATACTAAGAGTCAAACATTTTTTATAAGATTTTTTATTAGTTTTTTTACAATAAAAATTTTGGCTCTTATTTTTTTTTTTTTTTATTTCAAGTTTCTATAATTTCAGATCAGTCTGTTTACTGAATATCGAATTAAAAAAATTCTATTTTTGTATATGGAAAAAAAATTTAAAAAGATATATTTAATAGCAATCGAAAAAAGGAAATAGTAAGACAAAGTGGGACAGTCTAAAATATGATTATTCCAACAATGAAATCGTAAAAAAAATATTATGAAAAATGTAATTTTTTGTCCTAAAATGAAACAAATCCTCTACATTTATAAGTGGATTTTTTTTCTTTTTTCTACAATTCAGATGATTACAAAGCTTAAATAAGCATTTTCCCCTCAAAACTATCACAATATTTTCTGTTGGAATGTTTATCCAAAAACATTAAAGGAAAATCTGTTATTAACATTAAAGGAAAATCTTTCCCGATAATTTCTGATAGGCGTGCAGAAGTTTGGATAGTAATCGGGCCGAGATTAGGTCATGCCTCGTGAGCCCAAAACCTAGAAAACCCGGTTCAAATTGAAACCCTCGATTTCATTTGCGTCTCGTTTCCAAATCGATTCGGTGGGTACAAAATTTCGCGGAGGACGAAAGAGTGTTTCAGTCACTGCAGGAGCTGCGAAAATTCTTCCCTTGTCGTCTCCTCCCTAATCTACTTTTCCTCCTCCTGCTGCTGCTTCTTCTTCATCACTTCCGAGGTGCGTTTTCCGGTTTTCAACGCCGTTACTTGGAATTCTATCTGTTTGCGACTACATATGCTGCTTCTTGGTAGAGATTTGTAAATCGTATTCTTCTGTTGGAAATCTGAAATTGACTGCGTAATTAGATAAACTCCTATTTCAATTTCGATGTTTGTTAGTCACCCTCGTCGAAATTTTCTAGGAATTAGCTTTTTTTTTGGCTTGTGTTACTGTTCATGAATTTCGAGAATTGGTTTCTAATTGCCTTCTGGGATGGATTAAAGATGTCAAGATAAGGTTGCAACTTTTTTACTGGCTAGATATTGACGCAAAAATGTTGTTTTCCCCCCCTTTATAATGGAAAAAAGGTTATTGCTACTGTGTTGCCTTCGTTTGAATTTCATCTGCGTTGTGGTCTTTTGAGTATGGTGAAATTTAGTTGAGACTCGAGTATTAGACTATGCTATATATATATATATATATTTTTTTTTTGTTTATATGAAAGACTAATACTTATAGGTTTATAAACGATTCTCTATATGGTTGTACTTTCTAGTAGTGTGTATACCAGATGCTTTTCTGTTTTGGGGTTTATCAAATTTATAAGCTTCAATGCAACCTGTGGTCATTTCATTTGTTTTTCTACAATTCGTATTTGATACCTTGTCTTGTCTTGTATGCGTGAATCCGTATAGGAATGCTGTTGAAATGGAATCAACAATGGAGAATATAACAGAAATGGAGAATGAGAGAGTTGAAAAAGACACCAATCAGGAAACTGAGACTGTCGAGCCAAGTCATGATAATGTTACCGAAACCGATAAGGTAATTGAGACTGAAGAGCAAATTCATGATGATGTTACCGAAACCGATAAGGTAATTGAGTCTGAAGAGCAAAGTCATGATAATGTCATGGAAACTGAGGATATGAATCCAGGGGAGACAGTAGGAGAGGAAAATCCCGTCAGGGACCATAAAGATTCTCCTTCTCATGCTTCTACCCTTGAGCAGGGGGCCAACGATGATGATCTACCAAAGCTTGATGATGAGAAGAGTTCCCTAATAGAAACAAGCCCGCATCTAAGTCGTTCTCCTGAAGAAGGGTTAGTCAAGCCTGCTGTGGAAGACACTGTAGATTCTGTCAAGGCTGACAAAGATGCTGCAGTAGTACATGGAGAAGCGACTACAATACCTGATACCGAAGTCTCCGAGGACAAAAGATCACCGCTTTGTGATGATACTACGGTGGAGCAGGACAAATCTGCAGAAGAACACGACATGATATCCTCCGGAGTCTGTAACGAAATTCCAGTCATTCCTGATACCAAACCCTCCGAGGAGGAGGGATCACCGCGTTGTGATGATACTACTGTAATGGAGCAGGACAAAGCTGCAGAGGAATATGAGGTTATACCCTCAAGAGACCATAATCCTGATACCAAACTCTCGGAGGACAAAGGATCACCGCTTCATCAGGCTAATAATACTGTGATGGAGCAGGACGAAGTTGCGGAAGAACATGAGATGATAACCTCGGGAGACCAGATCGAATTTGCAGCCAATCCTGATGCCAAAGATGTTGAGGAGAACGATGACAGGATAGACAAGAGCGAGGCTGACGATATGATATTGGCTGACCATGGAAGTGGACCAGTTGATCATGATCAAAGCGCCACAACGGAGCTTGACAAAGGGCCAGAATTGCCTAGTTCTGAGACCGTATCGGAACTGGAGAATAACACATCCGAGCCTCTCGTAGAAACCTCAATGGACGTGGAAAAAGAGCCAGACATGCCTGCCACTGAAAATTTGACGGAAAATGACCAAAACTCTGATGTGTTGGACGCTGGAGTTTCAGGAGACAGTGACAAAGGGTTAACTCTCTTGCCCGCTACCCAGACTTCATCTGACCATAATGAAGGAGTGACTACAGTTGAGGCTGAACCTACGGCAGACATGGAACTTGACGTCCCTGATTCTAAATTGGTTACTGATGCCAGCGTTGACTCTACTAATAACAAGGATATGAATGTCGAGGCTCCTACTAATGCTATAGGACTTGTGAGAAGTGATACTGATATTGAAAGTGCATCAGTGAGACTTGAACCTGGTCCTCTTTGTGTTGCATCTTCTGATACAACGTCCGAAGTGGGGGTAAGCGGAGGTTTGAATAATGGGGTCCATAAAACAAATCTGGCACCACCTGGTTTTGATGGGACCATGAGCGCAAATCGGGTACCACCTGGTTTTGACGGGACCATGAGCACAAAGCGCTCTTTCCTCTTGGATGATACGTCGGACGGCAATGAATCTGGAACGGAGGAGGATCAATCTGATTTTATGAAAGAACTAGATCACTTTTTTAAAGAGAGAAGCATGGACTTTAAACCTCCAAAATTTTATGGGGAGGGACTAAATTGCCTTAAGTAAGCTTGCTTCCCATCTTTATTTAGTTATTCTAGTGTGTTATACGGTGTAAAAATTTCAGTGGAGGCTGATATTCAACTAATTTTTTTTGAGCAAGGTTGTGGAGAGCTGTAACTAGATTGGGCGGTTATGACAAGGTACGTGGCACTAATCACAGCATATTTGTTGATGGCTTTTACATTTCATCCTTGCTTTTCTCTGCTGCTTTTTGTTTGTATGCATACTGCTGTTCATTGGTCTAGCAGTTATGCTTTTGGTGATTATCTGATATGATTATTTTGCTATATTCTGAATAGGTCACTGGATGCAAACTATGGAGACAAGTAGGAGAGTCTTTCAGGCCCCCAAAGTAAGAAGAATTTGTTCATTTACCATTGACCTCTTGCTCTTCTTATTAGTGTTTTTTTTAAAGTTTGCGGGATTAGGTGCATATTCTCAAGAATTCGTTCTAATTGCTCAATTGTTTGTCCAGGACATGTACAACAGTGTCATGGACTTTCCGAGGTTTCTACGAAAAGGTGAATATATCCACCCTCTTTTGTGTGTTTTCATTCTCTGCTTTTTTTCTCCCCATTCATGTGGCTTTTGTATACACTGGCATAGGAATCTGTGCTTCAGTCCTTTTGAGAGATCATTTATATTATTTAAAAGAGGATAACTGTGAATTCTCTGGAGATATATTTTCCTTTACATCATGTAACGATATATCGTTTCTTCATTCCTCAGGCTCTTCTTGAATATGAGCGGCATAAAGTCATCGGGGGCGAGCTTCATATACCCCTTGCCCATGAACAAGAACCAATGAATATTGACAATCAGGTAAGATCGTGAAAATCATGTCATGCGTCTGTAGTTTTTCTTTGATCTTCTTCTCATGATTAAGGTTTGTGTTTCAACTTAACCTGCTGTCTTGTTACTGCACTAGGCTACTGGATCTGGTAGAGCGAGGAGAGATGCAGCATCACGTGCTATGCAAGGTTGGCATTCACAGCGTCTTAATGGTAACGGTGAAGTTACCGACCCTGCTGCAATCAAGGTCCGACATAATCTTGTTACGAAACATATTGTTTCATCTTACATTTCACTCTATATCTTTGTGGTCATAGTCTGAAACCGCAGGCTGTTTTGTAATTTGTAGGATAAGAATTTAGTTATTCATCAAAAGCGCGAAAAACAGATAGGAACCTCCCCTGGTATGAGTTCTGTTCGATGAATGAAGTCTTTGTTCTCATTTGTATATGACTCAGCTTAGTACTTACGTGTTGCATTGTCACCAGGTATGCTTAAACGCAAGAGGCCATCCACTGAACATGGTGCAAAAAATGTCATTCAAGTGTCTAAACCTATGTATGGTTTATTAGTTTTGTGCTCTTGACTTTTCGACATGTGATATATTTTCACGTTTGAATTCTGATTCCGTTTTTCGTTTTTTGTTAGGTTGGATGTGACAGTTGTTGATGTTGGACCACCAGCTGACTGGGTGAAGATTAACGTACAGAGAACGGTATGTTGCTTTCTTGATAATCTGAGCAAAATCAGTTTTACCCTGGTGTTACTGTATATATGTATTAATAATAATTTGTTCACAACCTGCAGCAAGATTGCTTTGAGGTGTATGCATTAGTCCCAGGACTTGTCCGTGAAGAGGTTAGCTCTCTCACACACTTGGAATAGAATCTCTGTACTTGATCTGAAACACTCGTTTTGTTTACAATATCAATCTATCTTTTGCACATAATAACACAGGTCCGAGTCCAGTCAGATCCGGCAGGGCGGTTGGTAATAAGCGGCGAACCGGAGAACCCTATGAATCCGTGGGGAGCTACTCCTTTCAAGAAGGTGAGTGCTCGCTCGTTAGGCGAATTTGATTCTTATAATTCCGGAGATCAAAACATTTTGTGTTACATGATGATTGTAGAGAGTGTTGTTAAATTACATTTTTTTTGAAACCTTTCTTGAATTTGCAGGTGGTAAGTTTACCGACAAGGATTGATCCGCACCACACATCGGCTGTGGTAACCCTAAACGGGCAGTTGTTCGTCCGTGTGCCACTTGAACAATCTGATTAGAAACATTTTAAAGTTTTTAACAAAAAGTCTTGAAGATCAAAGAGAGAGAGAGAGAGAAGAAGAAGAAATGCTAGAAGTAGTTTGTTGAGAGAGTTTCTTGATTCTGTATATTGTGATTGAGAGCAGCATAACAAAACAACCTTGAGAGAGCCCACTTTAGGATTTACTTTAATTAGGCCATCTAGCTTTTTATGGTCTCTCTCTTTCTCTTTTGATTAGATTATTAAAATCACTATTGATAGCACAAGATCTTTAAGCCTTTCTTTTATAAGAAACACGACTCCATCCTTTTTATTGTTGACTTACGTTATGCTTTCTTGCTTGTTCACATTTTAGTCTCAAGATTGTATCTACGTTTGTGTCAAATTTGCCCAAAAACGTATTACATATATTAAACAACAAGTATAACAAAACAATATCACAACAGCACTATTAAAGTTTCTAATTGTTTCATTTCTTTCTCCAACAAACCGAAAAATATGAAGGGTTTTAGGGAATAACAGAACCGGACCGGTTTAGTTGTCCTTTGGGCGGAATTTGCAAGCAGTCTTGAGCTCCTCCGGAGGTTTATCGCCGGCGAATCCAGCGTCAACCCAAGCGGAGTAGCCTCCCTCCATGTTAGCCACATGCTCGTACCCCTGTGGTGTAAACACATTACACATGAATACGGTGTATTTTTGTACAGATATATTAATTAAATTAAATTAAATTCATACCAAGAAAAAATATACTAATTAAATGTATAAGTGTAGTAGACTCACCTCATTGAGAAGATCAACACAAGCAAGAGTTGCTCTTCCTCCAGAGTTACAAGCCTTAACAAAAAAATTTCAATATGAGAAAACTGTCTTCTTCTAATATTTGAAACGAATAAAAATGATAAAATATTAAGAAAATAATACTCATACTCAGTTAAAAATTTAAGATTCTAACCACGATCAGATGGTCGTCTTTCTTGCAAACAGATGCCACTTGAGTAAGGAAATCAGGATTTATAATCCTACCTACAAACCAATTTCACAATGGTTTTAAGTTTTGTTTTTATAAATATGGAGTTATTGCAAAATTAAAAAAAAAAAAATCACCTTCAGCTGTTTTGAACATATAAGGAATGTTCAAGGCATCCTCAAAGTGACTCTTCCCGAATTCTTCATTTGTCCTATTAACCACCCTCATAAAGATCAACAAATATTATATAAAGGATTAAAACGAAATGATAATTTTTGAAACGTACCTAACATCAAGATATCGATGACTAACTGTAAGCAAACCTTTTGCTGTATAAACATCAACAGTCTCAACATTTTCAACGCTGTAAAAACAAGAAATCGACAGTAGAAGTCTAATAGTGAATATAGATATTTGAGCACATAGATATAGAACAACAATTTTGGGTTTTATTCTCACGTCTTTGTGTTTGTTTTCTCCATGAGAAAGTCTTATAGAGATTTCTGGTTAGATCTTATTTTCTGCTTCTTCTTCTGCTATGAGAAGGTTGAAGAGAAGAATATATGTATACAGCTTGCAATTAGTCAACTTGATCATGTGTATGTTAATTTATTCAGTTATATGAACTGTAACAAATAAGTTGACCAACTATTATACAATCATTTATTAATGATCGTGAAACTTGAAAGAATAGAAAGTAGATTTTTAATTTAAGGAAAACTCAACTCTGATTATTAGTGGTTTTGTTGTTAATTCTCGGAATGTAAGAATACGTACGTTATGTAATGCATTAAATCAAGCAAGGAGAATAAATTTGTATTTGAAATACATAAATCGATCTTGTTGCCAAAAATACATTACAAACTCTTATTCCTCATCAAGCTATATAGCTCGAAGTTCTATGCTTCTTATAAGCTTATGGCGATTGGCTTTTAATATTTTTTTACTCGGCTATTCGATTTTACCATTATAAGTTTACGAACATTGTGAACTTAAAGAAATACTAGTTGCAACTACAAATACTGGTGGACACAGACTAAAAAATGTTGGAACATGATTGGAACTCATTAACAAACTTATATTGATGAATATATACTTAAGATAATATTATTATTTGGATATGCTAAACTTATTAAAATCAATATTTAATTTCCGGAATATATTATACAAAATGTTAAAAGTCAGAACTAACTAAAATTAAAAAATGAGAACAAGCTGCTAAACCCTACTATAGGAAAATGACAACATAGCACGTACTTAAGACATGATGTAATATTATATTATGTATAATAAACTTTAGGTCGTACATATAAATTAGTTTGTACTCTTCTTACAAGTTTATTTCTGTTTTAAAATAGAAGCGTTTAAATAGTTTGGGATAGAAAATGACGTGAGTATTTTAAATCTGATTACAGTTCAAATGTTTTCTTCAATAAAAGGACAACCAAAAACAAATATTTATAAGGTTAATTGTTACCAAATACATGAGCGCAAATTCTGCATTTTGGGAAGCATTCTTTCCGTTTGTTGCGCATTTTGGCAAATGGCAACACACAATTTGCATTATCAGCACACAGAGCCATTACGTCTCGTGTCCCACAAGAAACTTCATCTTCTTGAAATAGACCATTTCATCAAAACCAACTGTCTCCAAGAAGACAGCAACAAAAGTGGTGTTTTTAAGCCAAAACATAAAACGCATGAAAACAAATTTCCTCAAATACTCTATGAATCTTCTTCCGTTTACTTATTTCACATTTACATCAAACAATAACTTTATCTGACACACAAACAAAGACAAAGATTTCACTTCACAATGTCTGAAACCTCGTCCATGTCTTTGACAGACAGAGTTTATAGTCATCTTTGTCTCACCGATGTTTCTCTCGCGTTGTTAGGGCTGTTTGTTTTCTGTTGCTTGCGTGAGAAGGTAAAAAAGAAGCAGGGGCCAACTATATGGCCAGTGTTTGGAGTTACTCCAGAGTTCTTCTTTAACAGGAATGACGTGTATAGTTGGGTCACAAGGTGTTTGAAAAACTGTGGAGGAACGTTTCTTTACCGCGGAATCTGGCTCGGTGGCTCTTATGGAGCTGTGACTTGTGTTCCCGCTAATGTGGAGTACATGCTCAAGACTAACTTCAAGAACTTCCCCAAAGGTCCCTTCTTTAAAGACCGGTTCAATGATCTGCTCGAAGATGGTATCTTTAACGCTGATGCTGAATCCTGGAAGGAGCAAAGACGGGTGATCATAACCGAGATGCATTCAACCCGGTTCGTGGAGCATTCCTTCGAGACAACACAAGATCTGGTACGTAAGAAGCTGTTGAAAGTGATGGAGAGTTTCGCAAGGTCACAAGAGGCCTTTGACCTCCAAGATGTGCTCTTGCGCTTGACATTTGACAACATCTGCATCGCTGGTCTAGGTGATGACCCGGGGACTCTGGATTCAGACCTTCCTCTTGTTCCGTTTGCTCAAGCTTTTGAAGAAGCGACGGAATCCACGCTGTTTAGATTCATGATTCCTCCTTTTGTATGGAAGACGATGAGGTTCTTGGACATCGGGTATGAGAAAAGTCTAAGGAAAGCTGTTGAGGTGGTGCATGAGTTTGTGGACAAGATGGTCGTGGAACGCATCTGCAAGCTCAAGGAGGAAGAAACGTTAGGCAACAGATCCGATGTCCTCTCAAGAATCGTTGAGATAGAAAGCCACAAGAAGAGTAGCGATGAAAAAGATCCTTCCATAATCAAGTTTTATAGACAGTTCTGCACAAGTTTCATCTTAGCCGGTCGAGACACAAGCTCAGTTGCACTCACGTGGTTCTTCTGGGTGTTACAGAAACACCCACAAGTCGAAGCAAAAATCGTACGAGAGGTCAGAGAGATCTTGAGACACAGAGAAACCGAGAGCCTCTTCACGGTGAAAGAACTAAACGACATGGTGTATCTACAAGCAGCACTCTCAGAAACCCTAAGACTTTACCCACCAATCCCAATGGAGATGAAACAAGCCATCGAAGACGATGTGTTCCCGGATGGGACTTTCCTAAGTAAAGGCTCACGTGTCTACTTTGCGATCTACGCCATGGGAAGGATGGAATCCATTTGGGGGAAAGACTGTGAATCTTTCAAACCAGAGAGATGGATCCAAGCAGGACAGTTTGTGAACGACGACCAATTCAAATACGTTGTGTTCAATGCTGGACCTAGGATGTGTTTAGGTAAAACGTTTGCTTACTTGCAGATGAAGACCGTAGCTGCTTCAGTCTTGTTGAGGTACTCAATCAAGGTTGATCAAGATCATGTTGTTGTCCCTAGAGTTACCACAACCTTGTACATGAAGCTTGGTCTCAAGGTCACCATCTCTCCAAGGTCGCTGCAAGAGAAGATACACGTTCAAGATTAGAGAAAGGAAACATTATTACAAAGTTGTTACTAGATTGATGTTCCTTGTAGAGGCATTGCTAAAGATAATTAAAGACTTTAAGAGGAAGTGGATTTTCTTAACTTAATATCAAAGGTAATTAAGAATTTAATCTCAAATTCAAAATGCCAATGTGACCAGAACAAATTAGTTAAACCTCAATATATGAAAATCAATCTTCCAACCATAAAATCTGATTTGAGTTTCTGAAAAACCATAGCAAGTTCTCTAAAATTTATGAGTAGCAAGACGGGCCGGATAACTTGCGGGTTACTCAATTATTGGCAAATACTCGTGCGGGTCCAATACGGAATGGGCCGGATCACGAATAACTCGGATACCCGGCCCATACCCATAATATGAGATGAATGAAATTGATTTAACCAATCTTCCTTACCAATGCCATGTATTTGGTAATTACTAATTATATGAACTAGGTGAGAAATAAATTTAATAATAAAGTGGTCGTGGTCTTTTGCATATAATAATTATGCAATATGCGCATCAATTCCTAAATTACCTAAAAGCATATCTAGTAATATAGCAATTAAATAAAACTTTGAAGGAGAAAAGTAAATTCAAATAAAGTGGTCGTCGTCGTTTTCAATATGTTAGAGACGTGTGTTGGATCTCTATGAGCCATTTGAAGTCTATATTAAGCAGAGGAGGAGGCTTTCTACTTGGATCCGCTCTCTCCGTTGCATCTGCCTCAAATCCTTCGTCTCTAGCCTCCGCGTTTTCTTCCTCATCCTCCGCCGTCGTCATGGAAACCCACAAAACCAAGGTCTGCATCGTCGGGAGTGGTCCGGCGGCACACACGGCGGCGATTTACGCGGCTAGGGCGGAGCTTAAGCCTCTTCTCTTCGAAGGATGGATGGCTAACGATATCGCTCCCGGTGGCCAATTAACAACGACCACCGACGTCGAGAATTTCCCTGGATTTCCCGACGGTATCCTCGGCCTTGACATCGTTGAGAAATTCCGGAAGCAGTCGGAGCGATTCGGTACCAAGATTTTCACGGAGACGGTTAACAAGGTTGATTTCTCGTCGAAGCCGTTTAAGCTGTTCACCGATTCGAGAACGGTCCTCGCCGACGCCGTAATCATTTCGACGGGAGCTGTGGCCAAGCGGCTCAGCTTCACCGGATCTGGCGAAGGCGCTGGAGGTTTCTGGAATCGCGGAATCTCCGCTTGTGCTGTATGCGACGGAGCTGCTCCGATTTTCAGGGACAAGCCCCTTGTGGTTATTGGCGGCGGAGATTCGGCTATGGAAGAGGCGAATTTCCTCACCAAGTACGGATCCAAGGTTTACATAATCCACAGGAGGGATACCTTCAGGGCGTCTAAGATCATGCAGCAGAGAGCTATGTCAAACCCTAAGATCGAAGTGATCTGGAACTCTTCGGTAGTGGAGGCATACGGAGACGAGAACGGGAAAGGAGTTCTCGGAGGATTAAAGGTGAAGAACGTCGTTACTGGAAATGTTTCTGATTTGAAGGTTTCTGGACTGTTCTTCGCCATTGGTCACGAGCCAGCAACGAAGTTCTTAGATGGGCAGCTTGAGCTTGATGGAGATGGTTATGTATTGACTAAGCCTGGTACAACAAAGACGAGCGTGGTCGGCGTATTCGCCGCCGGAGATGTCCAAGACAAGAAGTACAGGCAGGCCATCACTGCTGCAGGATCTGGTTCGTTCTCTACTTCTCTTTTTAACCTTTTCCTGCACAATGAGTTAGCTTTCTTTGAAACCATGGCTAGAATCAGTCTATCGTAGAGAAATCATCTGATATGTTTGGTTAATTGAATCTGTTTAGCATAATGATATGTTCAAAGGAGTCGCCTTTTTGAAAGTTATTAGCTTTTATGATGGGATGAACCCTTTCATGTTCTGAAAATGGCTTATTTAGAATATCATTTGATTCACGTAACAAAGTAGCTGAGCCATGATTTGTGTCTGCTATAGAGTGGTTCTGTGTTGTGCCTTTGTTTGCGGTAGAAGCCTATGCAGTTTCATTCTCATACTCTGTAGAAGACTAGTAATGGTCATTAGTTGTTCTATAAGTAGGTTTCTTGAGAGCGTGGAAGTTATAATTAAACTGTTTCAAGTCTCGTTATATGATTTTGTTATCTCAATGTTCTCTTGCTACAATAAGAAGCAGATATGTTTGTTAATTTAAACGGCATGGTGTGTGGTCTTCGAACTCTGCTGATGACTACTAATATGATATCAGATTGTTCTCAGCGGTTTAGAGCGATAGTGATTACCTTTAAAGTGTTATCTTTTTTCGTTTTTCCAATATCATAAAGCAACTCTGATCACAACTTATGGATGGTGCAGGGTGTATGGCGGCTTTGGATGCAGAGCATTACTTACAGGAGATTGGATCTCAGGAGGGTAAGAGTGATTAGAGAAGGTGTGTCATTTTCAGAAATGTCAAACCAATAAAAGAATCAGATTGGTCGCAAGAAGACAATCTTTTGAGTAGAGTTTTGTTTATGTGCGTTTGCAGTTGGACTTGAGTCTGGATTTTGTGCCAAGTTGTAACTCTTTAGTAGTCACAGCTTCGACCAAATTTCTCTTGATTTGTTTCCTCAGGTGAGGATCTTTTTATTTATTTAATTTGATTATGTAATCTCAGTTTTAGTTGAACTGATTGAATTGGAGTCTCTAGAGCTCTCAATAAAACTAGGGTTGGCTGCCGGAAACCTCTTAAACTATACAATTTCTGTCTAAATCCACCTATACTATTTACCTCTGTATAATCCCCTTCTAACTATTATAATTGTGCATATTCCCCCATATCTAATTAGAATCATAAAATCACGATTAAAACCTTAAATCGTGTTTTGAAAACAGTGGTTGTCCAAATCAACTACTTTGCCTAAACCCTCTAAATTATACAGTTTCTGCCTAAATCCACCTATACTATTTACCTCTGTATAATCCCCCTCCAACTATTATAATTGTGCATATTCCCCCATATTTAATTAGAATCATAAAATCACGATTAAAACCTTAAATCGCGTTTTGAAAACAGTGGTTGCCCAAATCAACTACTCTGACCCGACGACTTAACACCAAACCAGATCCGTGAATCTAAACCCGATCCGTGTATCTTTAGTTCTTTTATTCTCTCTCTCTCGATCAAACCCGTAAAATCAATTTGGGAAAAAAAACTTTTTAGGGTTCTTAGTCCGAAAATCGAATTGGGGAATCGATAGAGACAAAGAGAGCGACATCATTTCATCATCGATAAATATTAGTTCTGGTTCTATAATATGTTATAGTTTTTTCTCATTGTCGTGGAAATTTTTTTCTGGATAATTTTCATGAGCAGTTGATTTCGATAGTCCTAAGCTCATTGTTGGTGATTTCGTGGACAGTAACAATGAGCTCTTCTTCGTCTACTTCATCTGGATTGACAAACCGAAAGTCAGTGATGGGTGTTGCATCAAGCTGTTGGTGTGGGAGGAACATAATCACATATGTTTCTCAGACAAAAGAGAACCCTTTTCGTAGATTCTACAGGTGTGAAGTCGCCTTGCAGGTATTCCCCAATCGATACTGAAGTTACATATATGACAGAACTTATCTTCATTTGATTAAATTTGTGTTGTTTGTGTAGAGGAGAATGGAGCAACATCTTTTCAAATGGATTGATGAAGCTTTGTTGGAAGAAACAAGAATGGTTGAGGTGAAGCATATGAAGCTTGTAGAAGAGGTGAAGCAATTGAAAAAGGAGTTAGTGGAGAAATTAGAGCTTCAAAACGAAATGCGCCTAAAGATGGAAGAAGAGATGAAAGAAAAGATAGATGAGAAGATGAAGGAAGTGATTGTTCCGATTGCTAATGCAACTATGCAGAAGTGTATGAAGAAAGTAATAATCACAATGTTGGTTGTAGGAACAATATGATGGATTTGTGGGAAGATTGTTATGAAATAGTTTTAGTTTAATTCTGAAACCTTGAATTCATGTTTGGAAGTTTGTTATGTTATATGTTTGTAATCATTGACAGTATTTGCAATGACTAGCTATGTGTGTTTCGGTTTCTTAGTTACTGTGTTGAGTTTTTAGTTTGATCTTTATGGCCCCTAAATCATTGTAAGAGCAAAATAACTTCATTGTGATCAATAAATCTGGATTGAAAGACAAAGATAAATCTGATTTGAGTGAAATCACCAAAATGTAACATTCAAAGATAAAAAAAAACACCAAAATGTAGTTGAAAGACAAAGACAAATCTTGTTTGAGTGAAATCACGACAATGTAACATTCAATACAAAAACACCAAAAAACATCCAACTTCGGCTCCACTTTCACTCTGTGATTTGAGATGATTGAGTGAATGAAATCGTATCAGGGACTTGGTATATAACTAAAGCTCCAACTTCGGCTCTTTGAGATGAAGTAGTGCCCTGAAATGGAAAAGAAACAGAGCAATCATCAAAGACAAGTAAAACCAAACCGATATGCAACTTTTAATTACAAAAGACCTGCAACTTCAACACAATTAAAACCGACTAAATAAGCAAATCTACAACAAAACCTGCAACTTCAACACATTCAGACTTTGCGTCTAAGCAAGACTAAAACCTGAACTTCAAATAGAATTAAAGCAAGACTAAGCAAGACTAAATAAGCAAACCTACAACAAAACCTACAACTTCAACACATTTAAAGCCGAAACCAAACCTGCGACTAAGCAAGACTAAATAACCTGAACTTGAACACCTACGACTAAATAACCTGAAAAAACTTTAACTTCAAACATAATTAACCAAAAAAAGTGCACGTAAAACATAACTAAAATCATACCTGTTCACTTGTCTGTTCACTTGTTTCTTCTGTCCTCTGCTTCTTCTTTGGATGTATCTTACATCCAGCAGCATTATGTCCAGGTTCACCACAGCTTGAGCAGTGTATGGTGCGTCCAGTCTTTGGATATTTTTCAACCTGCTTCTTCTTCTTCTTCTTCTTCTTCTTTGGCGATTCAAACTTTCCTTTTAGTCTTGGTTGTTTCTTCTTTTTATTTCTTCCAGGAAGATCAGGTTCTGGGGGAGCCGTTACCAACCTAAAAGATCCATCCATCCAAAACCGTGGTCCTCTCATAGGCTTGATATTGTCATTGTAGCAATCCCGCCACATATTCGTTGAGAACCAATCGCTGACATAATTGTCAGTATCCAAACCTGCATCTATCATTGCTCAATACGCATGCTCACATGGTATTCCTCTGATTTGCCACTTACAACAAGAGCACGTCTTCTTTGCAGTGTTGACACTATAACTATTCCCAAACAGCTCCACCTCATATCGTCCATGTGCACCGTGAGTTGTAATACATTTATCAACATTCTTCTTCTCCTCAGCAAGAACCAGTTTAACATGTTCTGAACATCTACCATCCCACTTTGAAGATTTCTTGCTTCTCTTTGAAATCCGAGTCATTGCGAGCCTCTTAATAGTCTCAAGCATAGGTATCAGAGCCTTACCTCTTGCCTTTGTAATGGTGGAATTGAAGGATTCAGTTGAGTTGTTATCCACGTTATCGCAGAAGCTCCCAAGCTTGTAAAACGCCAAACACCAAGTATGTGGCTCCTCTGCCATCACGTCATTAAACAAAGCTGTATCATACTCTTTCAGATTCTTCATATTCTCTTGATATTCAGTCACACTATAGCTCCGAGCAACATTCCACACCAGCAACTTTAGCAATTCTTTCTTTGCATGGTTCTTCTTCAGGTTCTCAACAATGTGTTTCACACACCATCTATGCTCGACATTTGGTAACTCAGCTTTAACTGCAGCAATTAATCCCTGCAAAAATGATATAGAGGTCAATGTTCAACAATCGTGAAGTTACAAAATGAAAGTAGTCTGAATTCTAAATGTCTCAATCGTGAAAAAGTAGTTACTTACTTTTGATCTGTCTAAAATCATCACATAACCACTGCCATCTCTAAGCCCTAAATCAACCTTCAATTGCTTGATAAACCATAACCAGTTGTCTGAATTCTCAGCTTGTACCACAGCCCAAGCAACCAGATAGATCTGATTATTAGCATCATGACCAACAGCAGTGATCAAACACCCTTTAACAATGACCTTTAAGAAAGTTTCATCAAGCCCAATGATTGGTCTACATAGCCGCGAATATGGACAAACTGTACCTCATACTCTCTCTCAAGCCATTTCAAAGCTAGCAACCTTCCTCTCTGGACTTGATTCCTTGTGCTTACCAATCTCCAATTCTCTTTGATAAGCCAATGAATATCTTCAGGCATTAAATCAGGATTTTGCCTTAGTTTGTCCAAGAAAAGATGTGCAATGATAGGACCCTTAAGAAGCTTGCATTTTCCATTTGGCGTACAGCTGTGACATCCGTACCTAGTCTTCAAAATCTATTTCTGGCTCGTCTTGTCATACGAACAATATAGCCGCCATTTGCACTTTGTATCTACGCCACATCTATACCCAATTTTTGTCTTATCCCAACGATCTTGTCGAATGTTCTTTGCTTTGTTCAAAGCATACTCCAGAACAGTTTCCTTAAACTCATAGCCTGTATTGAAAGTAGTTCCCACAGCTAATTTAGCAGCCTTTTTCCTTCTCATTCTTCTATTTCTCAAAGCAATCTGAACTCTCTGGAATTGTCATTCTCACTATTTCCTCATCAACAAAGTTCTCTACAGCATCCTCAATCTCAGCTTCGTATCGTTCAGCTATATCCTCTTCTTCTTCTAAAATCTTATCTTTCTTACTCTTCGGATTTGCTTCCTCATTCTCGCTTTCATTTGCTTCCATTTCTTCATATTCTGCATCATCTTTCTCAGTTTCCTTCTCGCTTTCATGTCCATCAGGCGGCTCTGCATCATGCTTTTCATTTTCCTTCTCGCTTTCATGTCCATAAGGCAGCTCTGCATCATGCTTTTCATTTTCCTTCTCAGCTTGTTGAATGAAAATATCAACCAAACCTCCTAAGCTAGCTTCAGCACACATTCACCTAATATCTTCATCCGAGCTGAGCATAACTATAGGCTTTATGGAATTCATATCTTCTTGTGGGAGCTTATACCAAACATATTCCACATAACCGCCACCTAATGAATGTTGTTCACAAAAGCCATCGAAAACACTCCATGTCATCAAATCCGGATCAACTATTATGTCCCGCTTCAAAGTTCCACCAATGTAAACTTTCGTATTGCTAATCTCCATAACTCTGCCATAATATAAATTCACTTTGATAGTGTCAAATACGCTGCAAAAAAGATGAAGCATTGTAGTAAAAAAATGAAGCATTGTAAGCTGTACGAAAATTGCAGCAATGTACCTTAATAAAATCACACATAAATTCTATGCAAATACCTCATATTTTCCAGAAGACAACCATCCAGAATATGAACACCAGTGATGAACCTTTAACCCATCTTTCTTCGATGACTTTCTCAGTTAACAGATTCACAAACCTAAATTCGATATTCCCCAATTCGATTTTCGGACTAAGAACCCTAAAAAGTTTTTTTTCCCCAAATTGATTTTACGGGTTTGATCGAGAGAGAGAGAGAGAGAGAGAGAGAGAGAGAGAGAGAGAGAGAGAGAGAGAGAGAGAGAGAGAGAGAGAGAGAGAGAGAATAAGAGAACTAAAGATACTCGGGTCGGGTTTAGATTCACGAGTCTGGTTTGGTGTTAAGTCGTCGAGTCAGAGTAGTTGATTTGAGCAACCACTGTTTTCAAAACGCGATTTAAGGTTTTAATCGTGATTTTATGATTCTAATTAGATATGAGGGAATATGCATAATTTTAATAGTTCGGGGGGGGGGAGGGATTATACAAAGGTAAATAGTATAAGTGGATTTAGGCAGAACTTGTATAGTTTAGGGGGTTTCCGGCAGCTAACCCATAAAACTATGGCAATGGTTTTTCTAGATGCGTATATTTGATTACTTCTTACTTCTATGTACATTATAGATACAAACTTCGGTTGTTATCAGAAAGCAAATAGTCAAATGTATTAATATGTATTGATTCATTTTTGACTTAACTTTTCTAAGTAACTTCCACTAATTAAATTTTGATGAGTTACATTACTGAACTACACATTTGTTTTTTTTTTTGTTGTTGTCAACACTTTGGTTTATGAGATTTCTTTTCATATGAGCAAAATTATATGAGTACTAAGGTTCTAATTAATCTCACAATAAATATAGTCAAATGGAAAACCAATTCTTTATCTAAAGACAAGTATAACTTACGTTGTACAACATAAGTAATTAAGAAGCACTAACACAAGTTTTAAACTCTACGTTAGTTTAGCTGTCTATCTTCTTTCTCTCTACCTCTTCCTTCACTCATGATCACAAGAAGCAAGAGTCAGAGATCTTTGTTATGGTTTCTTGTGCTCCACGGTGTAGCTACTGCCACCGGAGCTCCCTCCGGCGAGAAAACGCTCTCTCAGACACCCACGTGGGCCGTCGCCGTCGTCTGCACATTCCTCATCCTTATTTCCCATCTCCTCGAAAAGGGTCTTCAGAGACTCGCCAACGTATGATTTCTTCTTCTTCTTACAAGTGTTCTTGCTCAAAAACTCAATGTATGAACCATCTTTAATTGTTTCTTCTCAGTGGTTATGGAAGAAGCATAAAAACTCTCTCCTTGAAGCCTTAGAGAAGATCAAAGCTGGTATTTGTTATTAATTGCTTGATTTGGTTTTTTCAAGAAACTAAAAGAAAAATGGTGATTGATTGATTCTGCAGAGCTGATGATACTTGGATTCATTTCCTTATCACTAACCTTTGGAGAAACATACATTCTCAAGATCTGCGTTTCTTCAGAAGCTGCTCTCTCTATGTTACCTTGCCCATTTGAAAACGCAGAGACTCTCTCTCCATCATCGCTCAGTAGACCTCTTTTGGCTGCTGGTGATTTATCTGTGAACTGCAAAATCGGATCTGAGCCACTCATAACATTGAAAGGATTGCACCAACTTCACATCTTGCTGTTCTTCTTGGCCACTTTCCATATTCTTTATAGTTTAATCACCATGATGCTTAGCAGGCTCAATGTACGTAAAAATCTAGTTTTGAAATGCTTGAAAAGAAACTATGTTTGACAATGCTACATTTGGTATTTGAATTGTGACAGATTCGTGGATGGAAAAAGTGGGAGCAAGAGACATTATCTCATGATTATGAGTTTTCTATTGGTAATTCTGTTCATCATCAGAATTTGTTTGAAGTTTTTTTTAAGATACTTACTTTTGTTGTGGAGCAGATCAATCCAGACTTAGGCTCACTCATGAGACATCTTTTGTGAAATCACATACAAGTTTCTGGACTACAATTCCATTCTTCTTTTACGTGGTAAAGAAGCCATTTCCAGTTTGCATATCAAACGTTTCTTGATTGTTTTGAGCTCTCAAAAGGAAAATTTTGGATACAGGGATGCTTCTTGAGGCAGTTCTTTGTATCCGTGGGAAGAACCGATTACTTGACTCTGCGCCATGGATTCATCTCTGTGAGTTTTAAATCTTTTCATCTTTCTGTTTTCTTCTCTCACGACTTCTTTCTTGATGCTTGATATATTCTTGTGGTCTTCTTCAGGCTCATTTAGCCCCAGGAAGAAAATTCAACTTCCAGAGATATATCAAAAGATCTCTCGAGGATGATTTCAAGTTAATAGTTGGAATAAGGTACAGCACAATCCACAATCATCAAAAGTCAAAATACAAATGAAATTTAGGTTTCTTTATGTAACTTTTTTTCTTGCTCTGCAGTCCAATTCTTTGGGCATCGTTTGTGATCTTCTTGCTGTTTAATGTTAATGGTGAGCTATATTTTACTGTCTTTAAATTTAGTTTAAATTCATATACTGAAATATTTCTATACAATTTCAGGATGGAGAACATTGTTTTGGGGATCAATACCTCCTGTGCTCGTAAGACAATCTCTCTAGTTATACAAAACTTCTTGGAAGTTTTTTTGTGTGAATAACAAGTCTTATTGCAGATAATCTTAGCCGTTGGAACAAAGCTTCAAGCGATTATGGCAACAATGGCACTAGAAATAGCAGAGACACATGCAGTAGTACAAGGGATGCCTCTAGTGCAAGGCTCAGATCGTTACTTTTGGTTCGATTGCCCTCAGCTGCTTCTTCATCTTATCCACTTTGCCTTGTTTCAGGTAATAACACTTTCAGCTTCTGTCTTCTTTTATAATGTTTGATCTCTAATGAGTATTTTTATTTCCTCTGTGTGTTCTGCAGAATGCTTTCCAGATAACACACTTCTTCTGGATATGGGTAAACAGAAAAGAAGCATCACTTTTTTAGTTTCAGAAATGATATTTACTTAGTAACACACATGTAAATTTGGCCTTTACAGTATTCTTTTGGATTAAGATCATGCTTCCATAAAGACTTCAATCTTGTGGTCATCAAACTCTTTCTATGGTAAAAAAAATCTAATTTTGCATCTTACAACGGAGGAAAGAATATTCAAACAAAAAAGTGAGAATGTATGTATGTCTCTATGCAGCCTTGGAGCTTTGATCTTATGCAGCTACATCACTCTCCCATTGTACGCACTTGTGACTCAGGTAACTTGTAAACAACGGTTTTCGATATTCATAATGAGAGTAGTCTTTGTTTGAAAGAAAAAGAGAGAGGTGATTGAAATGTTTGTGTTGGTGTGTGAGAAGATGGGTTCACACATGAAGAAAGCAGTGTTTGATGAGCAAATGGCAAAGGCATTAAAGAAGTGGCACAAAGACATCAAGATGAAGAAAGGCAAAGCGAGGAAGCTCCCAAGCAAGACACTTGGTGGTTCGGGGAGTTTCAGCATCTCCCCTTCTTCCTCTGGAACCACTCTACACCGTTCTAAGACCACTGGCCACTCTGCTAACGCCATATACTACAAACAACAAGAAGAAGAGGAAGAAGAAGAAAATGACCAAATCTCTGATCTCGAAGCTGGATCAGGGGATGTTACTGAAAGGTTTCAAGACCAGCAGAGGCAATTCCACCACTCTTAGCTGCTTTCTTGTTTCTGTGTAGTGTTATTATTCAAAGGTTGAGTTAAAAACAATGCCGTTCAGTAACTGGAAATTGTGAGAAAACAATGGTCCTATAAGTGTTTCTACTGATTAGCCAATAGACTTATTTGCATTAACTTAATCTACACATGTATTTTTATCTTTGGCACTAGGTAGTGTAACCATCTTGTCCGGTACAAGAAACACTTGAAGCTGATGTCACCAGTAAAAATATCTTCAAACCAGTTCATATCACCAATGCTGCTATAGAGAACAAAAAGATGGTGCAATAAATAGTATTGCTTAGTATTTATATGTAAATATTAGTCATTAAGGTGTATAAAACATACTTGATCTTGATTTTAATTACTAGTTTATTATATAAGGTCTATTATATACGCCTTAACAATGCATGTCATGTCAATAATTTAATCAAGAGAAGATAAACATATTCAAGTCTATATAAACAATCACAAATGCAAACAAACTAAACTTCCAACAACCAAAAGACACCCTAAAACCTTGATCGAGCTTCTCTTCAACAATGGCGAATATTTTTAGAATCAGCTTCATGATCCTCTTACTCTTCACCGATTATGGTTTTTGAAGTGCTTCTTTTGTTGTTGTTATGAATTTGCATTGCAATATATTTTCTTTACATTATTGTTCTTGTTATGATTATGATTATAGATTATTGATAGTATAATATAGAACTATAATCATAAAAAATAAGAAAACAAAGAAAATAAATTGCAATGTAAGCTCATAACAACAACAACAAAACTTCAAAAATCATAGTTTTGGTTTATATTATTGGTGAACATCAACTCTCGAAACGTATAGAAAATATATTATTGGTCATACTACTTGACCCGGCGGTTACCAGAGCAGGAGGAATCATTGAAGATCCACTGCTTCTGTGGTTAGTGGTTGTTATCATCAATGAACGAATATCTCATCTGCTCAGCTGCATATCATTTGCTCAAGATGGTTCATCATATATCTCCATAAACCATTTTTGTTGGTTTTGATTATGATTCTGATTCTTGTACACCAAAATTTGATAGCCATACCTCGGGATATTTGGAGTCGTAAGGACTATATAGGTGATGGCACATGCAGACGCACGACACCTTAATATGGAAATGCTAACATCAATGAACATAAGTTATAAGATCATCTGTTTAACGTCATCGTCCTCAATTACTTATACTCCAATATATTAAAAACTTCAATTAGGAAAGAAACAGTAGGGCTAATTTTTAAAATTAGGAGCCTTCTTCTTCTCTTCGTTTCCATATTTCATTAAGCGTTCTGCAAACTCTTTAGCAGATGAGCTGGCAAAATCAGCCCTTTGGTCTCTTAGTCCATTGGGTCTTGTCTAAACTCCTTTCAAGTTTTTAATTAAAAAGTTGATAAAAAAAAAATCACACATGTGTATTCAAATGAACAAAGTAACAAGGGAGAGTTGCTGAATATGACTCAAAACTTGAGTTGAAATGCAAAACTAGACTTCCTATTGCATGTTTGACAAAAATAACTCACAGGGGTAATGAAATTACAACTTTAACCCTTATGACCAAACAAAAAAACGCCAACCTCAATTACTATTTTATCCCAGAAAAGTCTACTCGAGAAGTTAAGTAGACTTCTCGAGTAGACTTCTCCAAGAAATCTACTCTTTAATAATATGTTTACAATTAATTTTAAAAATCATAAAAGATAATTTGATAAAAAAAATTAGATACATAACAACAAATATATACTTTTTTACACCTATTAAAAATAAAATTTGACAGAAAATAATCAATTTAAATCATCATAGATAAATTATGATAAAAATCAATACTAAGAAACTTCTCGAGTAGACTTCTCGGTTTCTCGAGTAGACTTCTCGAGTAGACTTCTTGGAGAAGTCTACTTACACGAATTTTTTTCTACATATATAAGGAGAGTTTAACCTAATTGTATTAACAATAAAGTCTCTCTCTATCTAAAAACCCGCCTCTCTCTCTTCTCCCTTCTCTCTGGCCATGAATTTCTTCTCCTTCCTCTCTTGCTATCAATATCCTCTCCATCCTCTCTATCTTGCATTCAACCTCCTCTCACTTGCAGGTTATGGTAGTGGTAAGCAAATCTGAGCTTTTGTGTTCCTCTTTTTGTTTGCTTTGTGTTCATATTGCAAATCTGAGCTTATTATTATAGATTTGAGCTTATTGTTGTAGATCTAAGTTTATTTTTGTAGATATGAGTTTATTGTTGTATAAATTTTGTAGATTTTGTTAATTTTTTTGTTATTATTGCAAAGCTGAATTTTGTTGATTTTTGTACAGATCTGAATGTTATAAATATAGTAGATTATTATTATAGATCTGAGCTTATTAGTTTAGATTTGAGCTTATTGTTGTAGATCTAAGTTTATATTTGTAGATCTGAGTTTATTGTTGTATAAATTTATTAGATTTTGTTCTAGATCTAAATTTTTTGTTAATGTTACAGAGCTGAATTTTGTTGATTTTTTCTGCAGATCTGAATGTAGACTTTTCGAGTAGACTTCTCGATCTCGAGCAGACTTCTCGAGTAGACTTCTCGATCTTGAGCAGACTTCTCAAGCAGACTTCAGTTGCATACCTAATTTTCAGAGATTTTAGTTTACTAGTAATTTCTTATGCCAGTTTTAAGATTTATAACTAGTGATCCTTAAATGTTTGTTTGTTTGAGGGTTATTTTTTTTGTAATGTTGAATTGCATTGAATGTTTTGTATCAAATTCCTAAATTATCTATGTTTATCTATTCTACAAAATAGACTTCTCCTGTCTCGAGTAGACTTCTTAAATACATTAACTTTACATAACTTATAAGTGATTCAGAGAGACATTTCTCCCATTTATATCATATAACTTGTCAACCGAGTAGACTTCTCTTGTCTCGAGTAGACTTCTCCTGTCTCGAGTAGACTTCTCCTGTCTCGAGTAGACTTCTCATGTCTCGAGTAGACTTCTAAAAGACATTAATTTTACATAACTTAAAAGTGATTCAGAGGGACATTTCTCTCATTTATATCATATAACTTGTCAACCGAGTAGACTTCTCTTGTCTCGAGTAGACTTCTGAAGTAGACTTCTCATTGTCTCGAGTAGACTTCTTAAAGACATTAATTTTACATAACTTAAATGTGACAACATTCGCCCTCCTTTGCTATTCGCCCTCCTTTGCCAACATTCACCAAGAAGCTCACCATGTGTGCAACCATCTCTTAAGAATAACATTTGCCCTCCTTTGCTATTATCCACCTCGAACTGCCACACTGATTCACTCTTAACCCATTCTCCATAAACAGCGGGTATGTGAGCCATTCTCTGTGAAAAAGAACAAAATCCAAACCACATTAGACATCAAAATTGCATAAGTAGACTTCTCTGAAAGTCGGATGAAGTCTACATAGTAGACTTCTAGAGTAGACTAAGAAGTCTACTCTTAATAAGCTAAGTATCATATAAAACATGAAAACTCATTCGACTATACCTATAAAATATAAACATGCAAAACTTATACATAAGCAAGAAAACTTAATAACAGAAGCTTAGGATGGCGAAAATCTTAAAAATTTGTTATATATTGTATAAAAATGATTTTTTTTAAAACAAGAAAAGTAGACTTCTCGGATAAAAGTAGACTTCTCGCAGGTTAGTTTTGCAATTTCCAAAATATTAGTAGACTTCTCTATAAAAAGTAGACTTCTCCGAGAAGTCTACTTTCGTAAGTAGACTTCTCGCAGGTCATTTTTGCAATTGCAAAATATTTGACTTTTTGGTCAATTGCAAAAATGACCTGCGAAAAGTCTACTTATGTAAGTAGACTTCTCGGAGAAGTCTACTTTGCATAGAGAAGTCTACTCTACAAAGTCAAAGGTTGGTCAATTGCAAAAATGACCTGCTTCTAAAGAAGTCTACTCGAAAAGTCTACTCCATTTTTTTGTTATCAAAGGAAATGAAGTAGACTTCATTCGGACCAAAAGAAGTCTATTTTTTCATGCGGTCAATTGCAAAACTAACCTGGGCGTTGACTAGTAGACTTCATTCGGACCAAGAGAAGTCTACTTTCAGAGCATTTTCGTAAATAAGTGAGGAAGATGAGGATTAGTTGGTCATTTGGATTTTCGAAAATAAAAGAAATTAATTAAAAATAATGGCAATTTCGTGAATAACTGAAACTATAAAGGATTGTTTGGACACAAAATGACAAATGTTGGGAAGGTGATTTTTGTGGGTTAGATTTGCAATTCAAATCAAATTTTAGGTCATTTTTGCAAGAATCCCAAGTAACAAAGCCTAAGCTGTTAGAGAAAAAAAACTCTCATTTATATATTCAAATATTTATGTATATTTTACAATGAGAATAGATAAACTTTTATAGCTTTTACAAAGAATCTATAAAATAGATTACGTTTAAAATAAATTATTTATATTTAAACAAAATGATAAAAATCAGCTAAATTAAACTATTTATATTTAAATAAAAGGATAAAAATAAGATAAATTAAATAAAGATCTTTTTACCACCAATTTTGTCTTGGATATTGAATAAGAATTATTCGACTTTTCTAAAATTATGAGCATTAAATTCTGATAGTAAATACACATAATGAATACATTTGTTTCATAGTTTTCTGATATTGCATCATAAAAATTTATCGACATTATGCAAAAATTTTAAAGTAATATTGACAAATTTATCAAAATAAGTTAATAAAGATCTAGTTTAAAAAGAACATATATTGTGATTTTTCATAATGACTCAGCTAATAAGCCATTTTATTCAAATGGTAATAAATGGGTCATAATGACTCAGCTAATGGGCCTTCACCCCCTCTTTATACTCCTTCTTTTTTATCCCATCCCATCGGCGCAGTGCATGGCAGAAGCAAGTGGGCTGGCGCAGCACAACTCCGAGCTGGAAAGCTTGCTAACTGTCCGAAAATAATCTCCTAAAAAATTAT